CCTCTCACAGTCCCTCCTCCTCCTCACTTACCGTCTGTGACTGCCTCTAGCTTTGCTTATATTTGTGAACTATAAACTGCTGCTCCTTGTACTTGTGCTCAGATTGTGTGGTGACGTCGTGATCCACCCTGAGCTTGCTTTGCTTTGCTTGTTGTGCTAATCATACCCCACTTTGACTATGGGGGTGTGTCAGAATGTTATATTTGTCTAGCCTGCAGTGGGGTACTCAATAGCGAGTACAGCCCAATTTAGGGTTTGCTATATGTACTCAATTGCCTGCTTGTGAAACCCCCCTTCTCTGTTTCATTCCTTCGTTCACTTCCTAACACACGCGCCTACGAACCACCGTCGCAAGAGGAAGGGCCCACGGGCCCAGCCGTCACCTGGAGTTCATTTTGCGAGACAGCCAAGTACAGCACGTGGGATGCGTGGTGCGCAGGGCTTCAGGCACGTTTCGAGCCGATTGCGGCTTCGATTTCGGCGCGTCAGAGACTGCGTACTTGGCGGCAGCTCGGATCGGTTCAAGAATACACGAGTGGTTTTCTCGCATTATGCGAGCAAGTCGGCTACATGCACGAGGCAGAGCGGGTGGACCGTTACGTCGGAGGGCTGAAGCCGGACATCTCGCACAAAATTATGCTATGCGGGCTCTCGAATTTTAACAAGATCCTCGCACTCGCCGAGAAAATCGACATTCTGCGCCGTCCGAGACCGGGGTCCTACTACGGACATCGTCCTCGGGGACCAATTGATCACGCCACCGTACACGTCGTTGCAACGAATGTAGCTGCCGCACCGTTTAGGGGGCGCTGCTTTGCTTGCAATCGGCCGGGCCATCGCAAGAGCGAATGCCCAGAGGAGCTGAGGCGCCGTGGAACAGAGCAGGGGCGGGAGTCTCAGAGGCAGGGAAACGCCAGCAGTCAGTAGAAGTTGGGCCAACTACTGACGAGACTACCTTCTCGCCCAACCTCACCGACCCTCACCGAGTCACGGTACCGATTCACGCTATCGATCGGGCTCGGATGAATAAGGAGGGTACAACGACTTGGCTGCGACGGTACAACCCGCGAATCGACTGGACGACGGGTAGTTGCACTGTACGAAGTAGCGGTAACTGGGTTGAACTACCTCGCTGGCAGACGCCTGAGTCTTCAACGGTCCACGTCAACGCCATCACAATGAAACGGGCTGTCCCTGCTGGAGCTGACGTGTACGCGGTGGATATCGCAGTGGTGAAAGAAGCAGAGCAGCCGAGCGATTTTCAGAAACTACTGGCGGCAGTACCACCCGAACTACAGGAACTGTTGATGTCAAACTTATATTCTATAGTCTATTTAGGCTGTAGTGGGGTAGTTCTTATAGGGTACAACACTTTTAGGTTTGCTACTTGTACCCACCTGCTTCCTAGTTCAATCGTTCATTCGTTCCATATTCTAACATGGTATTCTGAGCAGGTTCCCTAGTGGGAAAGTTTTTTTTTAGGGCCCACCACGATTTTTTTTTCTACCCTGCCCGAAGCGCGCCTCGCGCCCTGCCCAAAGCGCGCCTCGCGCCCTGCCCTGATACGGCCCGTCGCGGCCCTGCCTTTGCTGGCCCGTCGTGGCCCTGCCGTTGCCGCTCGTCGCGGCCCCTGCTGCAGTCGCGGCCCCTACTGCCGTCGCGGCCCCTACTGCCGTCGCGGCCCCACCTGCCGTCGCGGCCCTAACTGCCGTCACGGCCCCAACTGCCGTCGCGGCCCCTACCGCCTGTCGCGGCCCCTACTGCCGTCGCGACCCCACCTGCCGTCGCGGCCCCTGCTGCCGACGCGGCCCCTGCTGCCGTCGCGGCCCTCGCCCGTCGCAGCCCCTGCTGTCGCGGCCCTGCCGTCACCGCGGCCCCTACTGCCGCTGCGACCCCTGCTGCCGTCGCGGCCCCTGCTGCCGTCGCGGCCCCTGCTGCCGTCGCGGCCCCTGATACTGTTGCGGCCCCAGCCGTCGAGGCCCCTACTGCCGTGGCCCCTGCCGCCGCCGCCCCTGCTATCGCGGCCCCTGCTGCCGCGGCCCCTGCTGTCGCGGCCCCTGCTGTTGCGGCCCTTGCTGTCGTGGCCCCTGCCGTCGCCGCCCCTGCTGGCGCGGCCCCTGCTGTCGCGGCCCCTGCTGTCGCGGCCCCTGCTATCGCGGCCCCTGCTGTCGCGGCCCCAGCTGTCGCGGCCCCTGCTGTCGCGGCCCGGCCCTGCACGTGCCCCTGGTAAGCACCCGCGCCGCCCTGCTGCGCCGCGCCGCCAGAAGCTGAGCCGCGCCGCCCAGCTGAGCCGCGCCGCCCTACCGAGCCGCGCCGCCCTACTGAGCCGCACTGCCCTGCCTGCACTACTGCTACTGCTGCCACTGCTGCCTCTGCTTCTACTGCTGCTACTGCTTCCTCTGCTGCCACTGCTGCTATGGTTAGCCCTACTGTTCTCACCTTTGATGCTGAGGGACGTGCAGTTGACTTTGACGTGTGGGTTGACGACCTGCAGCTCTTTCTTCAATGTGACTCTAGGGATGGGGTATCCCTTTTTGATCACACGTCCGGTGTCTCTACTCCAACTGCTGCCACTGCTGACAGTACGGTTCGCTCACAAGGGACCATTCGTGACGCTGTTGCTCGTCTTGCTAATCGTAGTCACGTGCCGCCTGCTGAGCGCGCGCATTTTGGCCAGTACAAGACTCCACAGTCTTTGTACCACGCTGTAGTTGCGCGCTACTCCTCCCCTGCCACTGCTGCCCTCAGCCGCCTCATGCTGCCGTACCTTTTCCCTGACCTTGCCGCCTTTGCCACAGTTGCTGACCTCATTACTCACCTCCGCACTAGTGACGCCCGCTACCGCGCTGCCCTTCCCACTGAGTTCTGTGCCAAGAACCCCCCCCCCCCATGTACATCACCCTTTACTACCTAGTCATCCGCCTCCCTGACTCCCTTGCTTCAGTCAGGGACCACTTTCTCTCCCTTTGCCCCACCGAGCTCACTGTCGACCTGCTAGAGGAGCGCCTCGCTGCAGCTGAGAAGAGTATCTTAGCTCTAGGTGCTTCTCGCGTCTACCGTCGCACCCCTTTCTTTGAGGGGTGTTCCCCTGTCCCCCTTCTCCCCTCTGTTGCTTCTGCTGCTGCTGTCAACCTCGTTGGCACTGAGGAGGTCGGGAATGCGTCTGCTCCCAGTGGGAGGCGCCGCAACAGCAAGGGCAAGGGGAGCAAGGGTGGTGGAGGGGGCAGCGGGGGCGGCGGCGGAGGCGGTGGAGGAGGCGGAGGGGGTGGCGGTGGAGGTGGGGGTGGTGCTGGGAGTGGGGGCTTTAGTGGAGGCGGTGGAGGTGGTGGAGGCAGCGGCGGAGGTGGTGGAGGCAGCGGCAGCGGTGGTGGAGGCAGCGGCAGCGGTGGTGGAGGTGGCGGCGGTGGTGGTGCTAGTCGAGGTGCAGCCGCGCAGCGTGGAGGCTTTGGTGGTAGCCAGCGCCAGCAGCAGCCGCGTTCCCGTGAGACCCTGTCGGCCCAGCAGCTTCGTGAGTGGTATGCTGGGCGTGGGAGGTCTGGGGGTGCTGGTCCCTGCACTTAGATTCTTCGCACCGGCAGTCGTCGTGGGGAGACGTGCGGGCTGCCACACACTGCGCAGCGCTGCTTCGGTCACCTGACTGACGCCTGGCGTGCCCAGTTTCCTGACGCTGTTGAGCTCCCTCGCTGGGGTGATCTGCTTAGGCAGAATGTGGCTATCTTTGATCTTGATTTTGATGCTATCCTTGCTGCCATGTATGCTTTGACTGATAGTGCTGAGGGTGACTGTTACCTGAGTGTCCCGCTCGACCCGGGCATTGAGGCTGCTGCTCTAGGTGCTAGTGCATCTGCTGCTCCAGGTACTGGTGAGTCTGCTGCTCCAGGTGCTGGTGAGTCTGCTCTCTCTGGCACTGCACCTACTGAGGCCTTGCACACTTTCACACTTGACTCTGGTGCTTCGCGCTCCTTCTTCCGCGACAGCACCACACTCACGCCGCTCAGTCGGCCTGTTGCAGTCTCCCTGGCTGACCCCTCTGGGGGCCTAGTCCTAGCGCACTCTTCCATGGTTCTACCGTGTCCTGCGGCCCCGTCGGGCTTGCTGTCGGGACTCCACCTCCCCTCGTTCTCTACGAACTTGGTGAGTGGAGCTGACCTCCAGGACGCGTGGGTTGACCAGTTCACCCCTGGAGGTCAGCGTGTGACCCACTGCCCTTGCTCTTGGACGGGCCGCCACCTGGCCACGTTCTCCCGTCGGCCTGGGTCGAGTCTGTACACACTGACTACTGCAACTCCTCCGGTCACTGCGTTTGGTCAGGTAGCCGCGTCTAGTCCGGTGTTTGCTGCCGCGTCCAGGTCCAGTCCAGCGTCTGCCCCCTGCTCGTGTCGTCCTCTGTCGCACGAGACTCTCCTTTGGCACCACCGCCTTGGTCACCCCTCCCTGCCTCGTCTTCGAGGTATGGCCTCCCGTACCCTTGTCTCGGGTCTCCCCCGGTGCCTCCCTCCCCTTCCTCCGGGGCCTGCCCCTACCTGTGTTCCTTGTGTCGAGGGCCGGCAGAGCGCCGCTCCTCACTCCTCCACGTTTCCTCCGACAGAGGCTCCTCTGCAGACTCTTCACATGGACGTGTGGGGCCCAGCCCGCGTCCGTGGACAGGGTCACGAGCGTTACTTCCTGCTGGTCGTTGATGACTACTCGCGTTACACCACAGTCTTCCCCTTGCGCAGCAAGGGTGAGGTCCCTGAGGTGTTGATCGACTGGATCCGCGGTGCTCGTCGCCAGCTCAGCGAGCGTTTCGGCTCGGACCTTCTTGTTCTGCGTCTGCACTCAGACAGAGGTGGTGAGTTTTCCTCCAACCTCCTGAGGGCCTTCTGTCGTGCGGAGGGCATCCGCCAGACGTTCACGCTTCCGGCCTCCCCACAGCAAAATGGGATTGCTGAGCGCCGCATTGGCATGGTCATGGACGTCGCTCGTACGTCCATGATCCATGCGGCTGCTCCCCATTTTCTATGGCCGTTCGCGGTTCAGTACGCTGTGCATCAGATCAACCTTCAGCCTCGTGTCTCCTTGCCGGAGACCACACCTACTCTGAGGTGGACGGGGAAGGTTGGCGATGCGTCTGCGTTCCGTGTCTGGGGATCTCGAGCTTTTGTCCGCGATACTTCAGCGGACAAGCTGTCCTCTCGTGCCGTTCCCTGCGTCTTCCTTGGCTTCCCCCCTGACGCACCCGGGTGGCAGTTCTTCCACCCCACCTCGCGTCGTATTCTGTCCTCTCAGGACGTCACGTTTGACGAGTCGGTGTCTTACTACCGTCTCTTTCCCTACCGCACTGCCTCTCTCCCCCCCCCACCACTCTTCCTAGCACCAGGTACTCCTCCGGTAGACCCCCTCCCCCCTCAGGGTCCTGCCCCCTCAGGTGTGTCTCAGGTAGACCCTGCCGAGCCGGTCGAGGTAGCTGTCGACTCAGGTGCTGCTAGGGGTGCTGAGCCTGCGGGTGCGGGGACTGGGGGTGCGGAGCCTGGGGGTGCTGAGCCTGAGCGTGTGGGGTCTGGGGGTGCTGAGCCTGCGGGCGCGGGGACTGGGGGTGTGGAGTCTGGGGGTGCTGAGCCTGAGCGTGTGGAGCCTGGGGGTGCTAAGCCTGGGGGTACTGCGTCTTGGGGTGCTGAGCCTGCGCGTGCTGAGTCTGGAGGTTCTCCGGGTGTCCCATTGCGGCGGGAGCCCCTCTCTCCGCAGCGGCTTCGTGAGTGGTACACTCGGCGCTGTCGCCGTGCTACTGGTGCTGCTGGTGCTGGAGCTTCTGGAGGTGCTGCTGGTGCTGGAGCTGCTGCTGGTGCTGGAGCTGCTGGAGGTGCTGCTGGTGCTGGAGATGCTGGAGGTGCTGCTGGTGCTGGAGCTGCTAGAGGTGCTGCTGGTGTTGGAGCTGCTGGAGGCGCTGCTGGTGCTGGAGCCGCTGGTCCTGGAGGTGCTCATACTGGAGGTACTGGAGCTGCTGGGGCTGGTGGTGCTGCAGGCGTTGGCGCTGCAGGTGCTAGAGCTGGTGGTGCTGCGGGAGTTGTAGCTGGAGACCTTGAGGGTACTGGTGCTGTCTCTGCTGTTCCTGGAGGCGCTGCGAGGCCGCGGCCGTACTACGTTCCGCTCCTTCAGCAGGTTCATGGTCTACAGCCGTACTAGGGGTCTTACGGAGCGTCGTGAGCCTGAGTCGCGTCCTGTGTCGCCTGAGTCGCGTCCTGTGTCGCCTGAGTCTCGTTCTGAGTCGCCTGTCCGCACTGTTCGCGCTGGTCATCGTGTTACGCGTCCGCGTCCTCCTCCTGTCCCTGGCACTCACTCTATGATTCTGCGTCCTTCCACTGCTCCACAGCGTGTCCCTCTGCCGTCTCCTCCTGCGTCCTCTCTTCCTGACGGTCCGGACCCGGAGTCTGACTCCCTTCGTGTTGCTAGTCCTACTGTCACGCGCTTTCTGGCCACTGCTGTCTCTGACCCTTTGTTTGAGTCCACTGCTGCGTCTGCTCTCGTTGCTGAGCTTGTTGCGGCGTCTGCTCTCGTTGCAAAGTCAACAAGCTCAGCAACGAGAGCAGACGCAGCAGTGGACTCAAACAAAGGGTCAGAGACAGCAGTGGCCAGAAAGCGCGTGACAGTAGGACTAGCAGCACGAAGGGAGTCAGACTCCGGGTCCGGACCGTCAGGAAGAGAGGACGCAGGAGGAGACGGCAGAGGGACACGCTGTGGAGCAGTGGAAGGACGCAGAGTCATAGAGTGAGTGCCAGGGACAGGAGGAGGACGCGGACGCGTAACACGATGACCAGCGCGAACAGTGCGGACAGGCGACTCAGAACGAGACTCAGGCGACACAGGACGCGACTCAGGCGACACAGGACGCGACTCAGGCTCACGACGCTCCGTAAGACCCCTAGTACGGCTGTAGACCATGAACCTGCTGAAGGAGCGGAACGTAGTACGGCCGCGGCCTCGCAGCGCCTCCAGGAACAGCAGAGACAGCACCAGTACCCTCAAGGTCTCCAGCTACAACTCCCGCAGCACCACCAGCTCTAGCACTGCTCTCGTCCACTGTCTGCTCTCGTCCACTGCTCTCGTCTGCACCAGCCTGTCGCCTAGACTACGCCACTAGTCTTGTTGCTGAGTTTGCGTCTGCGTCTGTCTGTCCTCTGTCCGTCGGAATGAGTGTGCTCTTGGCACGGACGTTCTTGAGGACAGACAAGAGGAGTTTGAGTGCTTTGCCGCTGCTGTACCTCATCTCGTGTCCATGGTGCTTGCCCCTGAGGGAGACCCGGATGCACCAGACATCCCGACCGAGCGCTCTTACGCAGAGGCGATAGGGGGTCCCTACTCCTCTCAGTGGCAGGCAGCCATGGACGCCGAGATGGCTTCCTGGAAGTCCACAGGCACCTACGTCGACGAGGTTCCCCCGCCTGGGGCGAACATCGTCAGTGGCATGTGGATCTTCAGGGTGAAGCGGCTGCCGGGTTCTCCGCCTGTCTTCAAGGCGCGTTACGTTGCACGTGGCTTCAGTCAGCGACAGGGAGTTGACTTCTTCCAGACCTTCTCCCCTACCCCGAAGATGACCACTCTTCGGGTACTGCTGCACGTAGCTGCTCAGCGTGACTACGAGCTCCACTCGCTTGACTTCAGCACAGCCTTCCTACAAGGCATCCTGCACGAGGAGATCTGGCTGCGCCGCCCACCTGGCTTCACTGGGTCGTTTCCTGCTGGTACCCAGTGGAGCCTCCGGCGGCTAGTCTACGGTCTCCGCCAGGCACCCCGTGAGTGGCACAACACGCTGAGGACGACTCTTGCTACTCTTGGTTTTGCTCCTTCCACTGCTGACCCTTCACTGTTTTTACGCACTGACTCCACTCTGCCGCCGTTCTACGTTCTCGTGTACGTAGACGACCTCGTCTTTGCTACTGCTGACACTGAGGCACTCGCCCACGTGAAGTCCGAGCTGCTGAAGAGACACACGTGCACAGACCTGGGTGAACTGACAAGCTATCTTGGCTTGCGGATCACCCGGGACAGAGCACAGCGCACCATTACCTTGACTCAGTCACACATGGTGCAGCAGGTCCTTTAGCGCTTCGGCTTCACGTACTCCTCGCCACAGTCCACTCCTCTGCCTACCGGTCACTCGCTCTCAGCTCCACCTTCGAACGAGTCCGTAGAGCCGAGTGGCCCGTATCCAGAGCTTGTGGGCTGCCTCATGTACCTGATGACTTGCACACGACCTGACCTTGCATACCCTCTCAGCCTTCTGGCTCGCTACGTGGCTCTCGTTCGACACCGAAAGGTGCACTGGGATGCTGCGAAGAGGGTGTTGCGCTACCTGTGCAGTACGTCGGGCATGGGGCTCGTGCTTGGAGGACGGGCTCGAGTTGTCCTCACTGGTCACGCAGACGCTTCCTGGGTTGACGACTTGGCTACGCAGCGGTCGTCACAGGGTTACACCTTCAGTCTTGGTTCCGGTTCTGTCTCTTGGCGGTCTACCCGCTCTTCTTCTGTTCTCAGCTCTAGTTGTGAGGCTGGGATCTACGCTGGGGCCATGGCTGCACAGGAGTTACGCTGGCTGACCTACCTGCTGACTGACTTGGGAGAGGCGCCTCGTTCTCCTCCAATTCTGTACGTCGACAACAAGGCCATGCTGGCCTTGAGTCAGGAGCATAGACTGGAGCACAGAACGAAGCACATTGCTCTGCGCTACTTCCTTGCTCGTGAGTTGCAGCAGCGTGGCCAGCTTCGTCTCGCTTGCGTGGCCTCACAGGCCAACACTGCTGATGTTTTCACCAAGGCACTTCAGCCTTGTGATCATCAGCGTTTCTGTACTGTTCTAGGCCTTGTACCTACTGTGCCTCACTTGCTTACTTCTTGACTCTGCTTGTACTGTACTTTATATACATATACTTGCATGCTTACACTTGCTAGGTTGTGTTCACTGTATTATTTGTTTTCCTTTATATAACTCTGCATGTGAACTGGCCTTGTGGCCATTTGCTTGTGCTAGGACTGCGTGGTGACTTTGTGATCCACCCTGAGCTTGCTTTGCCTTTCTTGACTGGTCTTGTTACCTCTTGTTCTCCCCCACTTTGCCTATGGGGGTGTGTCAAACTTATATTCTATAGTCTGTTTAGGCTGTAGTGGGGTAGTTCTTATAGGGTACAACACTTTTAGGTTTGCTACTTGTACCCACCTGCTTCCTAGTTCAATCATTTATTCGTTCCATATTCTAACAGTTGAAACGGTACCCGGGGATTTTTCCCGACGACTTACCGGACGGACTGCCACCTCAGCGAGCACATGATCACCGAATAGAATTAGAACCCGGGGCACAGCCAACCGTACAGCGACAGTTCAGCCTGCCACAGCCCGAGCTCGACGAACTAAGGAAGCAGTTAGATTACCTGTTAGAGAATAAAATCATACGACCGAGCTCGTCGCCGTTCGCCGCACCAATACTGTTCACACCGAAAAAGGACGGAGGTTTTCGATTACAGGGCACTGAACAGGGTTGCAGTCAAATCGCGATACCCCATTCCCCGCGCCGACGAACTGATAGATCAACTACGAACAGCACGGGTCTTTTCGAAGATCGATTTACGGGGAGGTTACCACCAGATCCGGGTCGAACCATCGGACTGTGCCAAGACAGCATTTAGGACTAGGTACGGGTCATTTGAATACACAGTGATGCCTTTCGGGCTGACCAACGCACCGGCGACATTCCCGATGACCATGAACGAGGCGTTTAGGCCACTCTGAGATAAATGCATGATAGTTTACCTCGATGACATCCTAGTCTACAGTCGTGATAAGCAGCAGCACTTAGCAGATTTAGAAGCAGTATTTTCGGTTCTAAACGAGCACAGACTACTGACCAAGGGTTCCAAGTGCGAGTTCTTCTAGGTTAAGTTAGAATTTTTGGGGCACGTTATTTCGGCGGCTGGAGTTGAAATCGACCCAAAGAAGCTGGACACAGTAAAAGCGTGGCAACCCCCGACGAACATCACGGAGCTGCAGGGTTTTTTAGGGTTCGTTAATTATGTGCGTCGGTTCGTCCCCGACATGGCACGCTTAACTGCCCCGCTGACGGATTTACTGCGGAAGGGGGTCGCTTTTACGTGGGGGGAGAAAGAGCATGCTGCCTTCTCTGCCCTGAAAAATGTTCTCTGTTCACCGCCCGTACTGCGCATCGCCGACCCACACCGCCCATTCGAAGTGATTACCGATGCAAGCGACATCGCCATTGGAGCCATACTGCTACATGATTTTGGCAACGGTTTACAGCCCATCGCATACGAGTCACGAAAACTGCATCCGCCCGAGAAAAAATAACCGATACATGATCGCGAAATGCTCGCGATCGTGCATGCGTTCAAAGTGTGGCGCTGTTACTTGACCGGCGCAGACGTGACAGTACGGGCGGACCATAAATCACTACAGTACCTCCGCGCACAGCCCCACCTCAACCCACGACAGATTCGCTGGCTCGACTTCCTCGAGTCCAATTTTCACTACACGGTCACCTACAAAAAGGGGGCATCGAACATCGCCGACGCATTAACCCGCCCCATGTCGAGCATTAATCACATAGCCTGTTTAGGCTGTAGTGGGGTAGACACTGTGGGGTACATTCTCTTAGGGTTTCATATTTGTACCCAACTCATTTTCTATTCAATCATTCATTCCTCAATTCTCACATGGTATAGAGCGGGTTCCCTACTGGGACCGTTCCTCCCTAAGGGCCCACCGTTAAAAGTCTTTTTTTTTACCTACCTGCCCGAAGCGCGTTTTTCGCTCTGCCCTAACTTTTTTTTTTTTTTTTTTCGCGGCCCCCTAGTGGCCTTTTCCCCCCCTTGCGGCCTAGTCAGGCCCCGTTGCGACCCCGCCCCGTCGCCCGCAGTCGCCCAGTCGCGGCCCCCATCGCGGCGCGACCCCGGCCCTGCCCCGTCGCCCATTGCGACCGTGTCGCGGCCCGGCCCCGACCCTGCCCCGGCCCCGTCGCGGCCCCATCCCGGACCTGCCCCGGCCCCGACCCTGTCCCGGCCCTGCCCCGGCCCCGTCGCGGCCCCAACCCGGACCTGCCCCGGCCCCGACCCTGTCCCGGCCCTGCCCCGGCCCCATCGCGGCCCCGTCCCGGACCTGCCCTGGCCCCGACACTGTCC